TCTCTCCCCCCCTCTCCCCCCCCCCCCCCCGTTTTTATTTGAGGGTATGATATAGGTGTTAAGGTTGATATAGATTTGTTTGAACCATATAGGATTTTTTTTTTCTTTCACGGTTTTGAGAATCCTGCATTGTGACGGAGCAACCAACACGGCGAGACATGCGTTTTCTCTGGCACTATACCGCCGGGCCAGGGATGAGTAGTATTTAAATTACAAATATTGAAAATATTTCCCGAATTTTGTGTCTTGTGTTTAACTACTACGGAATCTATTTGTCGACTATGTTTAAATATAAAAGTTGGTATTTCAAACGCAATTGTATTCTAATACAATTTCAAATGCAATCGCCATGTGAAATTAGATAAGACGTCTGGATTTTTAAACGACGGCTTGCCAGTGCAACAGGACCGCTACCTGTGTTTTCAACGTGCGCAGACAGTAGTTTAATTACGCGGCAGCACGCTACTAGTACTATCCTACGTATTACACCCGTACCATCGTCAACATCTCACGTCCATCATCTACAAGCTCCACATCACCATCATCTAACCGGCGACATAAACACTTACGTACAGGCAGCGAAAACACTTGCTACAGGCAGCAAAGTCTTCTATGTCACGCGGACTTCAGAGTACAAATGCCAATCAATCAATCAATTAATAATCAACATCCACATCAGAACTGACTGATCTTATGCCTGCAGGTCAGAGCTCTGTAAAGTATATGATACACGCGTTTTGCTTTTCCTTGTAGTTTCTATACTGTTATTCACAAATGAGTGATCAACAGCCTGGCGTAACGTTCTCGTCTTTTCAAAACAGTCTTTTTTTTTTTCTGTGCAAGAGCAGTAATTATTTCATGGAGCGACGCCGGCGGCGTCTACAACCGCGAAAAACGAGCCATAATTCCCATTTTCCCATTGGCTGCAACGCATCATAGTTCCAAGGAACACCACCCCACAGAGAAGCCTTCTCCTGGCGCTGCGGTGCGCCGGTAAAAGGGAGAGGGTAAGCCTCCCTCTCCCTGTGCACTACTGTACCACGTGTTCTACGCTCTGCTTTCAGCCATGTCGCAACGCCCGGCCGGCCTCTGCGGAGGACAGCGGGGCGCGCTGTTTGTAGGAATGCGCTGCGTGTAGGAGTGCTTTCGCATTCCTACACGTCAGCAGTCTTAGGTGTATTTTTTCACACTCGACTACAAGAAGGATTTCTTGCCCTACGTAGACTGTTTTCTCCTGCACCAAATTTATATTCGGCCTCATCTCCTACACTACGCCCAAAGACTTCTCATTGGATTTGTGATTTTCAATTTATGCACTCGATTATCGTAGCATATGAACTCCATTCTTGTGACATTGTTTGTTTTTCTTGTTTTTTTACGCAGGTTAATTAGTTTGTATGGCACAAATATCGCACTATGAAAAGCAAATGTAATCAACATATTTGAAGATGATCATATACTTGATAGAAGACAAAATTAATAAACAGGCGAGCTGGTTAACGTTGCATATGGTCCTAACGTTGCATATGGTCCTAACGTGTGTGTTTGTGCCTTGTTCCCTTAAAAGGGGATAAGACACAAACACACACGTCTCAATTGAGACGTGTGTGTTTGTCTCTTGTCCCATTTGTCGTCCGTCGTCTCCGGTTAGAATCATGTGTAATCAAAAACTTCCTGACATATTCGTAATTTTTATTTAAATACGTTTTTTTATAATTGTAATTGCGCTAGCAATAAAATTAAATTTTGTCCGATTAAATATATTTTACAAGTGTTTTGCCCATCCCTGCGCCTGGCTGTGCATACAGCCATTGGCAGCATGTTGGTTAATTTATTTCCATTCATTCATATGTTTATTTTTAGTTCTCATGAACAGTAGATGCCTTGGTAATAATAAGTAAAGTATGTCAAGATATTTCGTCATGTTTTTGTATACGACATATATGTCTGGTTCTTTTAACCACTACGTGGAAGGGTGCAAATAAGCGCATGGACATAAGAAACGGGGAGGAGGAGGAGGAGGAGGGAGGAGAGAGAGGTAATTTAAATCTGCTATTGCAACTTCATTTGTTATTTGATTCGTTAGCTATAAAGGGTATACATGATTCGCCCTAATTTAAAGCATGCACATATTTCGCTGGGGGGAGGGGGAGGGGGGCAGTGACCAATTTATGTCAGATTATGCTAGTAGGGTAAGTTCTTGTATTCTTTCTCACACTGTGGCTTAATGTATCCTGCTAGCATTAGGTTGATGATTTGATGTCTCAGTGATTAGCGTGAAAGATAGCTTTCTGCAAGAGTTGTGCAAGCGAGGTTAGCTTTTAGACGACATGACGTATGCGAAGATTTCTTATAAACATTCACTTGATCGTTATTTCGCCTCGCCATTTGGTCGTGCAAAAATATAAATAAACACGAGAAGACAAAAAGGCCGTCAAGCGCCCAACAAATCGATGCAGCGTCGTCGAGATGTGCATGCGCCCTTTGGAAAACAAAGCAGAAACAAAATAAACATCTGCGATACAAAACGGCCGGATATTGCATCTGTCGAAAAACAAATGGAATGAAATATAGCGGCACCCTGAGACGAAACCAGTGTTTTTTTTTGTTTTTTTGTTTTAGTTTCTATTCTTTCCGGTTGTATCTCTACTAGTGATGAGATAATGAATTTCTGTGAGATATGCGAGATCAGAATCCCTAACTACCAACGCCTATACTAGCGCATTCGAAGATCGCCCGACTAAGAGGTCAGACATTTGATCAGCGTTATCGATTATAAGCTCATTTTAAAGTCCGGTTCACACACGTCGGAGCGCGTAATCAACGCTAGGAACAACGCTGATTTCAACGTACTTTTTGTACTGATACAAGGCTCCTATCAGAGCTGTATCACTAATATAACGCCAAATCGGCACTGCATCAGCAACTTCAATGTCATTTCCAGCGTTGACTGATACCGCTAATGTACTGTTGTGATGCATGTATGAACAGGCTTGAGATCTTTCGCCTCAACGTCCTGGCACTGAAGTAGCATAGGGAAACTCTCCAAGGTCCAAGGACATAAGCTGTATCACCAGGGTACTTGAGCTAAACACTCGGTCCTCCGCTGGGCCATCCTTTTTGTTGGTTTCAGAGATAATACCCTCAGTCGTATATGGCATGCGAGCGCATGCGTAGTAGGAAACCGGAGCTTTCTGGCTTGCACTCTAAAAGCTCGCGGTCGAGCAATTCGGAAGCAGCAGTGAGATAACAGAATGGCTATTACGCTGAGAATTCAGTTCACACAAAGCGGAGCGTTGAACGTGATCGTAATGACACTAATAAGTTTCATTGTTTACTCAATGCATGCGTACTCACAGGGCTGTGATAACTTGGGCACGTGTGGGCCTGATTAGTTGACACTGCTGCTGTCAAGTGCGATTTGGAATTCTATCACGAATAGACGAAAAATAATATTGCTAGATAAACGAGAATGGCTTACTTTTGTCTAGAAAAATGAAAGACGTTTACATATTTCTGTAACACGAAACGAGAGCGCAGCTTTTGAGAAGGAGGGAAAGGTATGCCCCTCCACCTCCTCCTCTCCCCTACCCCTTTCTTCCTTCCACCTCCTCCTTCACACCCTTCCCTCCTCCCAGTTTCCCCGCTAAACTTTGCTGAAAAATTGACGCCGCCCGACCTCGACAGCAATTCAATTCCCCGCTAATTTTAGCGAGGAATTGAATTGCTGTTGAGGTCACGTGACGTTAATTTTGCCGCCAAATCTAGCGGAAAAACTCAATTTGTTCATAGGTGACATGACACCAAGTCATGTGACGTCATTTTCCCCGCCATATTTTGCGGGAGTTGAATTGGTGTTGAGGTCACGTGACGTTTATTTTCCCGCTAAATTCAGCGCGGTTACGCCGACGGCGACGCCGACCCCGCGAAACCCGGAAACGGGCTAAGGTATTGAGGGGGGCTAGTTGGATATGCATGATATCAAAAAATATCATGCATATCCATATCTTATATGGATATGCATATCCGGGCGCCTAAGATCTATGCATATCTTAGGCGCCCGTCTCTGGGCGCCTAAGAGCTACGCTCTAAAACACAGTATATCCGATTATTGGCTTGCAAATGCCATTTTCTCGCGATTCTTATCAATGGCCACTGAGGGCGTCGATGTATCTCTTGCAGAAATTGTGGCACCTGCACATGTATGCCTCTAACATTGGATGGAGCTGACCACCCCTACTAAGAGTTCACCGCTTCAATACTGGCACCACAGTTGCGGTACGGTATGACTGGAGCCACGAGCTGTATTTCTGATGGTGACGAACTCTACTAAGAGTCCGTCACTGGTAAACCGGTACCACGGGTAGGGTATGACTAGAGCCTATCACTGCTGGTGACAGCTAACAATAGTCTTATTGAAATACCACTGCCATAGTTACGGTACGGCAGGAGTCACCAACTACTTTTCGAATGCTGATGAACCCTAACAAGTGTTCATCACTGTTAAACCAGTACCATAGGTGCAGTACGGCTGGAGTCTGTCACCGCTAATGACCCCTCATAAGAGCATCATCACTACTAAACAGATACCACAGGTACGGTACGGCTCGAGCGACCAGCTGCTTTTCGGATGTTAATTACCCCTAGTAAGAGTTCATCGTGGTACCGGTTTACCCGTGATGGACTCTTATTAGGGGTAATCATCATTCGAAAAGCAGCTGGTCGCTCGAGACGTTCCGTACCCGTGGTATATGGTTAGAAATGATTATACTCTCATTAGGTTGTTTCAAGGTATTTTCACGCCCAGTCTCAGGTGTTTTAACAAAATGGTACTCTTATTAGGTGTCATAAGAGTGTATCACCGCTAAGCAGGCATCGCAGTTAATACGATACGGCTGGAGCTACGATCTGTTCTTCGGACGGTCATGATACCATGAGGACCACGCTAACATTTCGGCTAGAAACTCTCTGTTCTCAGACAAGTAGAAACGGAAACTCACCGTAGCTTGACGCATAGCGGCGATAGTGCATAGTCCAGACAAGGCCTTGAATTAGCGTAGCCGGGTCATAGCAGACGAGACTGGAGACCGGACGCCTGACGTCACTCTTCAGTGGGCGACCTGCGATGCACGATACCCAAGGTGAGGACAACGTCGGCATGGCGACCCAGATAAGCTTTATAGTGGCCGAACGCCTGTCTCCCTTCATTCCTTTCTTTATCCACGCTTTTTTGGGTTGTTTTTTTTTTTTCTTGCTTATCGTAGCGTATCGTGCAGTTGTATGTACTTTTAACGGTAGTCTGCCGTTGGTAGGCCGATAAGAGTGCGAGGCGATAGGCCGAGGAACTGGAGCGGACGATGCAGCCTTCAAATATTTGCGCAAATATTCGCACGTGTGAGTAAGCAATTGACGTTACGTCGGGATTGCGCGGTTCTTCGAATTCTCAGAGTGTGTTTGAAGGCAAGTAAAGGAAAGAAAGAGAGAGAGAGAGAAAAGAGGGTAATTTCGCGCCTTCGGGGCACCATGAAACGACTGTGTTGCGCATGCGATGAGAAAACATGGAGATGAATTAGAAGGGAGACTTGGAAGTTTTATGTTTTATACTTCCAAGGTTAACTAAAATGTTTATCAACTTAAAGGGAAACAAAAGACTGAACTTTCTCAACAGGACACTACACAGAAGCTGAACAAGAAAAGCGACCGAACGCTAGAAAAGCTCCAACAAGCTATTCAAACATTATCTCCAGTTTTTCGACAAGCTGTCCCAGTGAAAAATCGCCCCATGACGAATTGCCTTACTTGACGAATTTCCCTCCTACGAGTTGCACTCCTACGAGTTGACCTATTACGAATTGTCTTTCCACGAATCCCCCATGAAACAATATCTGGAAGCGCACGCAATTGCAAGCATGCCTTAGTTATCTCCACGCGAACGGGTCTCCAACCGATACCCCATTCATATGCTCAGCATACATGCTGATACGTGCTAAAAAAAGAAAAAAATAATCGCGTACGCGAAGAAAAGGAACTTGTAGGTTAAGGTAGCGTTCATATTATTTACACCTATTCTGTTTTATTGCTTTGTGGTTTTGTAATACCGCTTGAGTTCAAACTATAGTTTAAGCCAGTCTTGTGCACGTTACTAAACCAAATGAATCGATTACATTTATACTTTAGTTTAAAAACTATTAAATTAGATTGCTTTATTACTTGACAGGCGAACTAATTCATCGTTACCTAGTAAACGTTACTTTTCCGATTACTTAAGTTTTCAAATTTCTCTTCCGATTTGAAAACGGGCCTTTTGTGCTCTCCGTTATTGAATTCGAATCACGGAATTACTAACTACTCGTATTTTAACTACACCAATATTGGTAGTGCATCATCCTCCTACTGGAGACTTGGTTCAAGGATTGCTTGGTAGAAACTTCTCGAAAACAATGGCTCAATTTGCAAGGGGAGGAAAGGACAGTAACGATTGCGAGTATACTTTTAAAAGTAATAAGATTGTTCTTGGGATTTCTTTCTAATAAAAGTGATCAAACAATTACAAAATTACTAAGAAAATAATGGATTTCAAGTAATTTGTTTAGCTGTAATTTGTCCGTACAAATCTGGTCGAATTTCTGTTTAGTGTTCATAATTCTAAACTATATATATTTTATTTACTTTTATTTTTACTCTTGTATGAATCAGCGTCGTTTTTCGAAGTTTTCGGACGAGTAAGTAGTTTATCTAAGGACCGTAACACTGTACTCCTAGATTTTACCTACACGCAAAATAGAAAAAAAAAAAAAAAAACTCTTTAGAAAGAAAAAAAAAAAAACAATTGTGGGGGCGATGGGAGAGAGAGGATACAAGAGAGAGGAGTCAAAAGTGGAAGCCTTCTTTTTGGCCCTAGAGCCGCGATCATACTAGAGACAGTAGCGGATTTTAAAATAGGGGGCTCCACAGTTTTGGGTGTCCCAAACAGCTTGGGGCGTCCAAGTGCGCATGCGCAGAACTTCACAAAGCTGTGGGGCCACCTATTTTAAAACTCGCTAGTGTCGGCGGCGTGTTTCTTACATTACGGTCCTGCCACGTTGTCCATACTAAAATCTCGGGGGTCTGTTCGCAAAGCCTTCTCAATAGGCCGGTGCTCGTTCCCAAGCCGTGCAAGCGTGCGTGTGCGTGGTCTAGTCGCTAGCGTCGCGTGACGTCACGTATTTTCATTGAAATTTCCCGCCAAATTTGGCGTGAAAATTTAGCGGGTCGATAGGGTCATGACGTTACAGCCACGTGTGACGTCACACGTGGCTGCGCGCGTTGCATTATGGGATTTTTTGGTCCCACCAACGGCAGATTTTTCGCGACCTGAGCAAACAAGTTCGAAGCATACATACATATGAAGCAAACAACCTTCAAACTTGTCCGAAGCAGGGTTGGGCGGTATCGCGATACAAATGTATCGCGATAGTATTTCAGAAATACATTTCGTATCTGTATTTCTGTATCGCGATACATTTTTTTTTCACTAGTATCTGTATTCCTGTAACGAGATACATTTTAGATGTTTCTTTGTATTGCGATACAATCAAGATGAAATGTATTCCGTTACATTTCTTGAAAAATACTGCCCCCCCCCCCCCCCCCCCCGCCCAAAAAAAAAAAAATTCCGAGCGTTTTTTTTTTTTTTTATTTCTGAGGGCGCGAGGGTCAAGTAGATACTGGGACATATTGTGATTATGCTGACCAAGTTTCCTTCCGATTCTCCAGACTATTTTTCTATGCGCGCTCAGGAGTGGAGTCAGAGCATCTTCTGCCACAGGTTTTAGGTACGGATTTCTTGAGTCATTGTTTGTTGGCATCCAATGACCGCTGCTAACCGTTTCTCTTGCCTCAGCGTAAACAGTACACCCAGCCGGGAAAGCTAAGTCACAGTCCGTTGCAGCACGAGCCTGACGGTTGTCAACTTAAAATAGTAGGATGACACACGCAGTGAAGTTCAACACATATTCGAATGCGTCTGCGGCTGCGCCCATAATATTGCACGGCTCAAGGGTACGTCATCAGTCGACGTGAACATGACCTGCTGCTCTGGTGATCCGAAACCCAGGAAGGAGACCAGACGTGGCCTCGCTGTTCCGACCCAGACTTCGTACACCTGCGACTCGTCTCAAGCGCGCTGTTTCTCGGAGAGCTCGCACCTGTACCGGCAATATCAGGTCGCAATTCACGAGGTCCCTGTTTGGATGTTGCTAGGCGAAAAACAGCGGGGTAAAGTTTCATGTTCAAGGCCACACCTACAGATAAGGAATACCAGTTCATTACACCGTGACGTCATGTGATCAATGTTGGCAGGGGCGTGGGGACGTTTTGATGGGGTTTAGGGTGACATACAATTTATTTAGAGGTCGAAGCCTTTTCGCATTCCTCGTCAGACAGACAGGATGTCAGGGAACATACACCGGTCAGTCCTTGATGGAACGTTTTTTTGAGCCCATTGAAGACTCCTCGTCGTACGAAACTACTACCTTCAAGGCAAAATGCCAAGCCTACGGGGTAAGTAATTTCGGGATCAAAAACTTCCACTTCAAACTTCAAGCTTCATCTCAGTTGGCATCTCAAACAAATTTTAAAAAAATGTATTGCAGTATCAGTATTTCAGTATTTGTATTTCTGCCTCATTAAAATATATTCCTGTATTTGTATTTGCAAATACCTTTTGCCTCTATTTAAAATGTATTTCCGATACGTATCGCGATACATTTTCACAGATATATTTCAGTATCAGTATTTTAGCTACTATTTTAATGTATCCCAGTATTCGTATTTCCAAATACATTTTTGAGTATTTCTGCCCAACCCTGGTCCGAAGTACGTTCGCCGTGTTTTTTGTATGATGTGATGGCGGCGTAAGAGTGTAGGTGGCGTTGGCAGGGTCACCCCGAACGAGTGACGCAGCAGGCACGCTGGTTCCGATAGACTGACCCGGACGAGACATCCCCCGCCTAATGCGGCGCGGATTGGCTTCTGTCTGCTTCGTTGGCTGCGGATACGGTCTTTGCGGGGCACGCTCGGACGGATCCGCATTTGCTTTCGGATTGGCGGAACGCGACGAGTTAGTTGTCTGCTACTCTCTGTCTCACCCCGAGTCGAACTCTACAGCAGACGCTGCGAGCCATCGAAGCCAATCCAGCGTCTGGGAGAATGTCACGTGACCTTTCCGTTCGGCACTGCGACGCGTAAAGTGTCATATCTTCTGCCTGCTTCGTTGACTGCGGGTATACGGTCTGTGCGGGGCACGCTCGAATGGATTCGGATTCGCTTTCGGATTGGCAGAACGCGACGAGTCGTCTGCTACACCCCGTCTCTACCCGAGATGGACCTCTGCGGATTCTACGGGCCATCGGAGTCAACCGAGAGCTGGGAGAATGTCACGTGATCATTCAGCTCAATGCCGCGTCGCATAAAGCTCTTACTTTATTATCTTCTTTTCTACGAACAATAGATTTGGGGAAGTCTTTCTGAAGTGCATTTCAATTCGCGCTCAATCGAAGCATAATGGAAAACATTGGAAGGCTGCCAGTGAAAAGCTATGTTTTTCTAGATACTTTTATTGCTGTCGCTGCATTTATATTACCTATTATATATTTACTACATTTCATTTTACTTTCGTATAACTTCTTGTGCAGTAAAATGTATACTAATTACTAGCCACTCCCGTCATTAGCTCCGAAAGGAGGTTAGCGGTATTCACAAAGACGTAAGTAGATGTAATAATGTAGAGGTAAAGGATCCTTGCATTTCGGCAGCGTCGGAACAGCGGGACAAGCGGAATATCGGTCTCCCGAAAGGCTCAAATTGTTGGGGGCGCTTTGAGATAACCAAAGTTGCAGCAAAACACCACTTGTAACGTGTGTATCTATTCCCCCCCCCCCCCCCCCCCCCCTATCTTATTTCGCAGGAAAACACAGCGTCGCTCATTGTCCCAGAAGAAATAAAGTTGACAAGCACTCGAACAACCTCAACTCGTCGCGGCAAAACGAACACGCCTGACCTATCGTCCGCTTTCCTTCTCTTTCATTTCACGTTCTTTCTCCCGTTCTCCCAACACTACCTGGAGTAATGAAGGCCTGCG